GTCCAATATTTGCTGAGATAGTTCCTGAGAGAGCTCGTACGAGCATTTATGCTCTGGATCGATCTCTCGAGACCATCATAGCATCATTTGTTCCTATGCTGGTTGGTACTTTAGCTCAACAAGTTTTTGGTTATAAGCCAATCCCTGAGGGAGCTTCGACCTCAGGGGAAATCGAAACAGATAGACAAAATGCTGCCTCACTTGCCAAAGCAATGTACACTGCAATAGGCATTCCAATGGTCATTTGTTGCTCCATCTATTCCCTCCTCTATTTCACATATCCACGAGATAGAGATCGTGTCCTGTTGCAACAGATTGATGAAATGGGGAATTCTCCATCCGAAGAACAACAGCCCTTACTTGAGCACGATGAGCAGAGACTTCTTTGAGCAAGTTAGTTAAGAGTCCATAGATTGTATCCATAGCTGATAATATACATTTGCCAGCTATTTTCTTAGTGGGCGACGACTATTTGTGTCGATTTCCCATAGTTTATTTGATACAATAACATTGATACTGAATAAGCAATAAAAATTGCCTACTATATCGACTACTCTAGTTAATTTAAACTTTAACAACACCACTTAGATAACTCTATCCAGTAACACAACTCACAAATGAAATGAAACAGTCTATGATGCTTTATAACATAGGAATAGATCTACGATATGAGAGCACAATACACTAAACTCAAAGAGTAACTTAAGACGCTGCAACACTCGATCAGGTTCCTCGTTGCGTGTGAGAGTAGTTCTTCCTTGAGAAAATGACTTTTGCTTTGAATATTCTTAATTGTAAAAACTAGGTTGTTTCTTGTCAACATATCCAATATATAAGAGAGACAAACCAACCTAATAGCATACCATTGATCGAGGACTATTGTCCTTTCCGTGCCTCTACGACAATGCCCACTAACCACTTATAGTTGCACACTATTGACTTGTCCTCTACAGCGAGAACTATAAGGACCAGGTCCTTTAATTAGATCCCTTTGCTCTATAGTTTATTAATTCATCAAAACTCAAAATACAAAACTCTAGCTCTTAAAAACAAACTAGCTTGATTAGAGAAAGTTTTAATCTTTATTATAGTGTAAGAACCAAACTTGGATTAATGATGTCTACATCTAAAAATACGCATAAAAGGGGGTACTCGCCTTATTTTTATGATCTTTTGCTTAAAAAATTTATCATGTGACACTCCATGCGTGGAAAAAATAATTTTAGTGTGGCAAATCTAAATAATTAATATTAGGTTAAAAGTTAATTAAAGTTAGGTTAAAACTATCATCGTATAAATCAATTTATTTCAACTGTCACATCCATCATCTTCTTCTCCACCTTTTTAGCTGTGATCTCGTCTCTATCGTGGCATTGAAATCTCCGAAGGAAATTTTGGGGTTTTTAAAGAAGTCAATTAAGAATATATCTAAAAATATTAGTATGTCAGCTAATAGAGCAATTATATATGCTAAGTGGATGGAGATTTTATGGACAAATTAACGCGGCTAGAAGCATTTTTAGATAAACATTGATCTGATCAACGTTTGGATATATTTCTTGATAGTTCAGATATGACACTCAATAAAATAAAATAATTGATATCTACTGTCTAATTAATCACACTATTCTACTTCTATTTTATTTTTTTTCAATTGAGATCTTGCTTACACATTTTCATAGCATGTTATCTTCACGTAAACACTAATTCTTCTAATTTGCTTCCTAATAAAGCAAAAACAACGTAGAAGTATTATTATTCTTTCCATCTCACGTGAAGATGTTAGTATTTAAAAAAATAAATATTTTATTATAATTTTCTCAATTTCTTTTAAATCATTAGCTCTATTGATTTGTAATACTTTTTATAAAAAAATTAAATATATAATTTGATATTTCAAATATTTATAATTAAAACTGAAATATCTCGAATTTCGACTGAGGGAGTAAAAGAAAATGACCCACTAATATGGGTTGTGGTGCAGTAGTGAGACTGCTCCACTCTTAATCAGATGTATTGAGTTCGAGCCTTTGGAAAAAATTCGATTGAAAGTACCACCCCCAATTAGCTCCTACAATGTACAATTTAAATTTAATTGAGACTTCAGTACATGCTCCGAACATAGGACCCCAAATGATGGGGAAACAAAAGAAAAAAAATCCATTTGTAAACTACCCAAAATTTTCTAGGTTGGTGTATCCTCATCGTCTAATATTCAACGCTTTTTTGGGAACTTAATTTGGTCCCACATAATACATTTTCCAAGTTTTGAGCATTTAACGTGTCTCCTGCTATACATGTCATAATTTTATCATATGAAATTACACGCAATGATATTAAAAATAAATTATTTTGAGTAATCGTGAATTTTTAAAGTCAAAGATGTTACTCTTCCGTTTTTATTTAGTTGTTACTATTCTAGATTTTATGTTCCTTAAGAAACTAGATAAGTTTATTATTGCGCTCTTATTTAGTATTCTCTTAAAGTTAAGTTTTCAATCCATGAACGAATTGATTTATTTTGATTAATTAATTTGATCAATAAACATGAGGTAATTACTTAGTTTATCTTTGTTGGTCAAATACATACTTTTAAGGCTAATAACTCTCAAGAGTAAAATAAGAATAATAATGTCATTTATGCATTGATTTTGCGAAATGACAAATATTAAGAAATATTTATTTTTAGTAAAGACGATATGTAAATAGTAACAGAGGGAATATTCATGGATGCCCGTGTGATAACAGATTAAAAGTTCAAGATCATTCAACTTCAATAAGTTTTATTTAAATATTTGAATTAATTAGAATATGTTCTGATCGAGAACATGATAAAGTGTTCATAATAGATATTTTTTGTTCAAATTTTTTAAAAGTTTCTACTCTTATTTTCAAGCAATACCACATAAAATCATGATACTTTCTTTAATTAGACACATCAATTTTCTTCGAAATTTGGATCAGAAATGTTTAATAGGAATAAGTTATCATGTGATAAAGTGTTTAGTAGTTCAAATATCTAAATAAAATTATGAAATATACTACTCTCTCGGTCTCAAAATATTGTCATATTTTTTATTTACACATTTTAAAAAAATATAAATTGAAAAGTGTATTTGACTATTTTATCTTTATTTACGTCTTAAAATATTGATTATTTACTTTATTAATGTGTCATAATTGAGTTGGTTTTAGTCTTTAATAACAATTACATCTAACAATAAAATAGAATAAATAAATAATTTTGCATTGACTTTTGAAATAACAAATTTTCTTAGCAAGGACAACAACTATTTTGAAACAAAAGAAGTACTCCTTATTTTTTTTTAAATTTTAATTGACCATTCTATGAAAAAATAAATGTTTCATTTTAACAAGGCGGAATGGCCTGAGAGACTTTTGTACTTGACTCGATTTATAAGTTGGATCCTTGTACTTATGACTTTGCCAACTAAACCCTTAAACTCATTCAAACACAATATTTTAGACCTTTTCTCATCTGATGAGTGTGCGTGTAGTACACTCATTTTACACATGAATACCACGTCATTTTTTAATGACACGTCATTATTTCTATCATTATTTTAATAACACATTAGAAATTAAATATTTAAAAATAAATAATATTTTTAAAAAATGCAATTTTCTCTCTCTGTACCATTCACTCCCTTCCCACCTTCTATCATTTTCATCCCAAAAATAAAAATCACCATTTTCATCTTTCTTCATAGTTCACACTCAAAAATTTCTTCAATCACAAAATGTGATAGATTATAATTAGTTCTTGCACATGCTTTATGGTTCTATTTATTTTGATTCGATAAAAATAGATATCAAGAAAACTTCAAATTGAAAAACATATATTTATATGTAAATTCAAGTAGTAGATCTTAAAGAATTAAGTTTATAAAAATGGTGAATGGTATATTTACTTGCAAAAAAAAAAAAATTTCAATTTTTTATTTGATAATTTTATTGTGATAATGTGTACGTTAAAGAAAAAGAAGAGAAAAGGAGCAGGGTGGGGGGGTGGGGGTGGATGTGGGCTGAAGTTGAAGAAGAACAAGAGGAGAAAATGAGTAGGGGCGATGGAGGATGGGGGCTGAGGTTGAAGAAGAAGAGAAAATAGGTGGGGTGGGGTGGGCCTGAAGAAGAAGATAGAAGGGGTGGGGGGTGGGGCGGGGGCGAGGTGGGGTGTAGTAAAGAAGGAGTTTTTTAGTATTTTTTTTTAAAAAAATTTATTATTATTGTTTTGTCTTATAATTTTAATAATTTTAAATTAAAAATATTGTATTCACTTGCTTCAAAACGCGTGGGGTTACGTATTTGTCCAACTAAGCCATTTCAGTGCCACATAAGCTCGGTCAATGGTCAGAAGGGTTTAAAAAATAGAGTTTCATTGAGCTTAAGGGTTCATTTGGCAAAACGATGAGTAGAAGGGTTCAACTGACAAACGAAGCCAAGTACAGGGGCCTCTCAGGTCATTCCGCCTTTTAACAAATCAAGAAAGTCTTATTACTCCCTCCGTTTAAAAAAGAATGACCTAATTTGATTTGGAACGGAATTTAAGAAAAGAAAGAAGATTTTTAATCTTGTGGTTCTAAATTGAAGTTGTGTTAAATGTACCAAAATGCCCTTTACTATTGTAGCCTTAAAACAAGTCCCGTGAAAAGTTGAAATTAAAGTGTTACCTAAAAACAAAACTAGATCATTATTTTCTAAACGGAAGGAGTACTTTTTTCTTCTCATATCATTCATACTACTCTATTAAATAACTACATAAAGTACTAGTCAAATTTAGAGCTCCAATCCAAATGATCATTAATTAAATTTTTCTTAAGAAATATGTCAGTTCAACAGGGGTCAAGTAATATAAAACAACTAGCTCTAAAACAGAGAAACATAAGGTTATTAGTCAACACCTTCTACAGAGAATTCAATTATATATACACAATGTATAACCAAATTGTTTAAACCATTACTCTCATAGCTCGATAATAATGGTACTAGAAGTCATGAAGAAGTTAAGATCAGATAGGTTGACTCTTGTATTAGTGAATATTGCTGGTATAATGGAGAAAGCTGATGAGACTTTGTTACCTAATGTTTATACAGAAATTGGCAAAGATTTGCATACTGATCCAACTGGTCTTGGTTCTCTTACTCTGTTTAGATCATTAGTTCAATGTCTTTGTTATCCATTAGCTGCCTATCTTTCTGCTCGTCATAACAGAGCTCATGTCATTGCTCTTGGTGCTTTTCTTTGGTCTGCTGCTACTCTCCTTGTTGCCATCTCTTCCACCTTCACTCAGGTTATTTAATTTATGTCGCATATATCATGTTGTTGTTACTGCTTGTGTTTTCATATATGTTGTGTTTATGTTTGTCTTGAGTAGAGGATCTGTCGGAAACAGTCTCTCTGTCTGTAGAAATAAGGGTTAATTTTGTCTGCTTGTGGTTGTAGGGGCCGAGCTAGTAAGGGTCTTCGGTAGAAAATTATACTGTTTATGTTTGTCTTGAGTCAAGGGTTTGTCGGAAACAATCTCTCTACCTGCACTAAATAATAGTATATTTTGTCCACTTGTGGTCATAGGGCTGAGCTATTAGCACAAAATTATACTGTTTATATATGGTTAAAATTATTTTTTTATGTATATATATATATATATATATATAGTAGATGTTGAACCCTTTTGACTTTTCCAGTGTTTACTTTTTCATATTTTAAACCCTTAATGCAAGTTCTGGCTCCACCAGTGCAGTTGTGGGATTACACTAATGTTGTTGTTGATGGGTTCACAGTGTGATATTGTCTGCTTTAGATTAAGTTTTATCTGATTTTCCCCAAAAGACAGAGTATTCAACACCTTATAAGTAGCTTACTCTTCTTTTCAGCTTCCAATGTGGTGTTTTGTGGACCCAACAAACAATAACTTCTGTTGTGGCTCTGTCCTTGTCTGTACATTGACAGAGTCAAAACCAAGGAAGGAGCTCAATTGAATCTCCTTCGTTGAAAAATCGTTTTGTATAAATAGGGTAAAAATGATTTTTTTGTATGTATATGTTATGATCCTATTGCAAAGTATGGGACTTGAATCTCACACCGTTTTAATCGGGATCTGATATAGGGCCTTGGGCTCTCCCACCTCAATAGAAGTATCATCATTCTTGAATTTAGGCTGTAAGAATTGTTTTATCACCTCACAGATGTTGTTTAACAGATAGCGATTTCGAGAGGATTGAATGGAATAGGACTTGCAATAGTCACACCAGCAATCCAATCTTTAGTTGCTGACTCAACTAACGAGAGTAACCGCGGTACTGCTTTTGGATGGTTAGCACTAACATCAAGTTTTGGCTCAATCCTTGGTGGGCTTTTGTCTGTGCTGATAGCTGAAACATCATTCATGGGGATCCCTGGTTGGAGACTCTCTTTCCATCTCGTTGGTATTGTAAGTGTTCTTGTTGGTTTTTTAGTCCGTCTCTTTGCCAACGATCCACGATATCTTGGAAGTAAGGCTGACAAAGAAACTGATCAACTTAAACTAAAATCATTTCAAGAAGAAGTTAGTGAACTGCTAAAAGAAGCAAAAGCGGTTATCAAAGTGCCCTCTTTTCAAATACTTATCGCCCAAGGGGTTTCCGGGACGTTCCCCTGGTCAGCATTGTCATTTGCCACAATGTGGTTGGAGCTTGTAGGATTCTCTCACAAGACAACAGCTCTTCTCTGGACTTTGTTTCGAGTTGCTGACTCACTTGGCTCGTTGTTTGGAGGATTCATGGGGGATGTACTGTCTAAGCACTTGCCTAATTCTGGTAGGATTATACTCGCACAGATAAGCACGGGATCAGCAATTCCAATAGCTGCAATTCTTCTGCTGCTATTGCCTAATGATCCTAAAACAGCTACGTTGCACGGTTTAGTCTTGTTCATCATGGGATCAATCATATCATGGTGTGGTTCAGCGACAAACAAGTACGTCTCTTCTCATCCAATATATCATTTTTATAGAATGTTTAGCACATTTTTCCTGTTCTGAATTTAACTTGAGAAGTTACACTGAAATATCTCACTATTGACATGTTTGTAGTCCTATATTTGCTGAGATAGTACCAGAGAGAGCTCGGACAAGCATTTATGCTCTGGATCGATCTTTTGAGACCATAATATCGTCTTTTGCTCCATTGGTGGTTGGTATTTTAGCTCAACAAGTTTTTGGTTATAAGCCGATCCCCGAGGGGTCAACAAGCTCACAAGAAATTGAAACAGATAGACAAAATGCTGCATCACTTGCCAAGGCATTGTACACTGCAATAGGCATTCCAATGGTCATTAGTTGCTCTATCTACTCCTTCCTGTATTTCACATATCCACGAGATAGAGATCGTGTACGGTTGCAGCTGATTGAAGAAACAGGCAATTCTCCATCCGAAGAACAACAGCCCTTACTCGAGCACGATGAGCACAGAATTCTTTCAGCAATTAGTTGAAATCCTCCGACGAAATTTTAGGTTGTCTGTACATAGAATCCAACAAGTACAATCTCACTTCTTGCTATGTTGTTTGTATTATTGCAGTATGAAAGTTAACTAATTCACTATGACATACGTTGAGCTTAAATGAAGAGAAGTGATGATTGTTATGTCGTAATTTTCCTATCTTTAGAAAAATCACCTTTTGAAATGTCTCAAGTATAAAACAATTTGAGAAAAATACTTAGAAAAGAGTCGCCACTTAATTTTTTAAATAAATTAAGAAAAATTATAATTTTCAAAACTTATATGTATCTCAGCCTGTTTTCAGCTTTCTGAGACTTGTGTATCTGTGTACTGTTTTGTGGAAGCTTCCGAAAGCTATGTTGATACTTCCCTTTCGTGACATTTGGCATGGGGATTGACTCGGAGAGTTGTTGGGTTCATCCCAACAAACAAAAGAGATGCAAGGAGGCCAGGATTGGAGTCCGGTGGACTCGATATCAGATGCATGGTATAAAGGAAAAAGGGATTTAACAAACCATATGCTTCGGTAAACCGACAACAAATAATCTAACATATAAGATCACAATAAGATAGAACTTAAATCATTGATCACTAAAAAAAAAAGAATTTCAAGCAGACATGTTTTATCTCAAATTTAAGAACAATACTAAGTCTAACAGAAATCACGAAAAGAATTTTTTTTGCACAATGTGAAAGCTAGTTTAATTAAGACAAGAAAAATTCTAAAGACCATTATGAAGTCTGATCCAAGAGACCTTAGTTGCCGGTTAATGCTATATTTTAACCGTATATTTAAAACAAGGGAATGGTTAGAGGTATGTTAAAGCATTTTATTCAAAGATCTGGAAAATAACTTCAAGGAGAGGAATACATTCTTATTTTTGGAGCTCAAATAAGAACTTTAGCCTTTTGTCATTAAAACCGAAAGATAACAATGCTTCAGTCTCATACAATCACATTTATCCAAGAAAAAAGGCCTAAAGAAGGTTGTTGTGCATTTTTTTATTTTTTTATTTTTTAAAAAGGATGCTCTAACATACTGTAATCATTTATTAAAAATGAAATCTCTAGTATAACACTTTCTTCCTTCTAATCTTTTAATAAATTTTATCACGAATTCCCAGGAATGTATGGTATTGATAGTGAAGTTTTACGTGATTTAAAAAAAAAAAGATAAAACATAACACTAACTGTCACCCATCCTTGGAGTATGACATTTAGTTAATAACCGATGAAAATACTTGCCAAAGGTCCCTCAATAATAGATCTAAGCATAGAGGTATTTGTTCTTGAGTATACATATAGAATTGACCATGATATGAAATAGATAAATTTATATATAACTACCACACTACAACCAAAACATGCACATTAACTACATATCACAAATATTAGACTAATGAACATGAATATTCAAATAGAGAAGCTGATAAGTTAGGAGGCAAAGGGAAAAGCTAATTACATCCACATATCTCATCTTTTCTATGAAACATAAAATTGATAAGATTGTAATAGCAACAATTATTGTATTGGCAGTAAGAAAAAATCTATTGCAGGTGCATGATGTGCTATACTTTAAACAAAAGTATCAATGTTTATATGTAAAGTGGGAAGGAAAGGAGCGTGAAACTATTCTTTTATTATCAAATTATCCGACACATAAATTTAGGCTCTTAAATACTTTAAATGAAGGCAACAAAACTAAGTAAGAGACAAAGTTGATAATCCGGCATCAAACAAGTCAGTAAATATTGCAAACTATTAACTAAACAAAAACACAAAGATAGCATCAACCAAAACAGAGGCATCAGAATCGTTTGGTCGTTGTTGTTGTATTGTGTGGGTGGGTCTTTTTGTGGGAATGGGCTGCTGATAAGGTTGGGAATGGGCCTGGGTTAGTGGAAAATAGAAGGGGAATTGATTTGGGCTGCTGAAAAGAGGTAAAAAAAAAAAAGGGCCCAAAATTGGTCAACAAATTAGAGATAAGGTATGGAATGGCTAAAATTGTAACTAGCCATGTGAATTAACAATCTAACCCAATAAGGTTCAAAACGTAGCCAAATTGAATTGATTAGCGAATTCGGCCAAAATTTAAATAAGACGAGCTTATATAAATTAATCAAGGAGCTTCTTAATTTTAACGAAATAAAATAATTAAATCGATTATAAAATAATTAATTTAATTACAAACTAATTAACTCAAAATTATAACTATAATTTAAACTAAATTAAATTAATAAAATATTTAACTAAAATGTAAAATCTTTTGTGATGATTTTCAAATATTCTTAAAATATACATAATTATATAAAACACATATATTATTTAAAAATTATAAAAATGACACAACTATTTAAAATAACTTGCAAACTATAATATTTTTCTTTTGAGATTTTATAAAACTAATTGTTTTATTCGTTCGAGACTGAAGAAGCTCAGTAATTAATCTATAATGTGGAGGTCCAAAATTGGGTGTCAACAATGATGAATATAGCCTACTCATACTATTTCAGATTGAGACGTAGTTATTATTGTAAGTTAATTAAGTTCGTAAATAATAGATAGGGAGAAAGGTAAAACAATAAATTTTGGCGAAATTGTAACATTTCAATTAAGTGATATATGTAGGGATATTCTTGAAAATGGAATTTCAAATATTTCTTTCCCAAAGTACTTTGTATTATTTTATTTTATGCTTTCACTTTATTGAGAGTGATGATTCCTTTTTTTTTTAAATAAAATAAAATTCTATATATTAGTAAAGCATATAAAAAGGCCAATTATGTAAATCATATATAGTTGTAGAAGCCATGTTGAAAATAATAAAGAAGAGAATGAGTAATAAATAATGACAAAATAATACGATAATTGAAGCAACAATAACAACAAGGCGTTAATTATAATATTTTAATCCGTTCAGCAAAGTCAAATTTACAGTTAGATTATCGATTACGGTTAAATTTTGAACATTCTTTTTATTTATGATTTTGTGTAAACAGGAAAGTAAGACAACTAATAGTTGAAATATCTTAAATTAGAAAATGTTCAGTAGTTGTCTATGGCCTTTACTATAATACTTATATTTATAGTTCCAATAACTTTTTCTCGAGTTCCTCATATATATCTATGTGCATGTACTAAATGTAAACATTGAATTTCAAAACAAAAAAAAAAGGGTTTGCTAATTGAGATATTAATGGTGATGATGAAGTTCAAGAACAACTTGACAGTTATATTGATAAATTTTGCTGCTATAATGGAAATGGCTGATGAAAGTCTGTTACCTGGAGTTTACAAAGAAGTTGGCAAGGATTTGCGCATTGATCCTGCTGGTCTTGGCTCACTTAGTCTCTACAGATCATTAGTTCAATGTCTTTGTTACCCTCTTGCTGCATTCCTTGCTGCCCGTCATAATCGTGCTAATGTCATTGCTCTCGGTGCTTTCCTTTGGTCCGGTGCCACTTTCCTTGTTGCCATCTCCTCTACCTTTGCTGAGGTCTCTGCTTCATTCCTCTGTAGATGGTGTTTCTTTCTCTATATACTACTTTCGACTGTTTTTTCTTGAGCTGAGGGTCTATCTCTCTACCTCTAAGGTAGTGGTAAGGTCTGCATACACTTGGATACTAGAAACTTTGGTTTTGTGTTATTTGTCTTGTTCTTAATGTTGTCTCTTGTATATTACTAGGAGCTAATGACAAGAATGAAAGTGTTATCTTGTTGATGTTGTTTAACAGATAGCAATTTCGAGAGGATTGAATGGAATTGGACTTGCAATTGTCACACCAGCAATCCTATCTTTAGTTGCTGATTCAACTGATGATACTAATCGCGGTACAGCTTTTGGATGGTTAGCACTAACAGGAAGTTTTGGTGCAATCATTGGTGGGACTATGTCTGTGCTGATTGCTGAAACATCCTTCATGGGAATCCCGGGCTGGAGAATCTCCTTTCATCTAGTTGGTATTATAAGTGTTTTAGTCCTTCTCTTCGCGAAAGATCCCCGCTTTCTTGACAGAGATGTCAATGCAAATGATCAGCCTTCCCTGGAACCGTTTCAAGAACAAGTGAGAGAACTGTTAAAAGAAGCAAAAACAGTTATCAAAGTACCTTCCTTCAAGATAATTGTTGCACAAGGGGTTTTCGGGTCATTCCATGGGACATCGCTAAGATTTACCACTATGTGGTTGGAACTTGTTGGATTCTCTCACAAGACGACAGCACTCATCTCGACTTTCTTTGTAGTTTCTATGTCAATTGGTGCGGTTTTTGGAGGATTCATTGGGGATGTCTGGGCCAAACACTTGCCTAATTCTGGTAGGATCATCGTCTCTCAGATAAGCACTGGTTCAGCTATTCCCTTAGCTGCAATTCTGCTGCTGCTATTGCCTAATGATCCTAAAACAGCTTTTTTGCATGGTTTATTCCTGTTTGTATTGGGATTTTGCACATCATGGACCAGTCCAGCAACAAACAGGTATATCTACTCTGAACCAATATATTATCATATTGTTTTGTTGTAGTTTCTGTTTTGTTACTATCTGTTGTTTTTGTCATTAACTATTGCTTCTTGTACTTTCATTACTTCTTCTTCTGTACTGCTTTGAACTGTTTTTTCTTGAGGCGAGGGTCTATTGCAAACAATTTCTCTTCCTCTAAGGTAGAAATAAGATATGTGTACGGTCTATTCTTCCCAGACCCCACTTTGTGAAACTGCATTGTGTATGCTGTTTGTTATTATGCTAGGTACATTCACAAAGCTCAAAATGCCTTTTTAATGTAGTCCAATATTTGCTGAGATAGTTCCTGAGAGAGCTCGAACAAGCATTTATGCTCTGGATCGATGTTTCGAGACCTTGTTAGCATCATTTGCTCCTCTGCTAGTTGGTTCTTTAGCTCAACAAGTTTTCGGTTATAAGCCAATCCCTGAGGGATCTTCAAGTTCAGGGGAAATCGAAACAGATAGACAAAATGCTGCATCACTTGCCAAAGCA